TCAACAAATTCTTTTTGTTGCAATATTCATAGAAAAAATGATTTCCTCTCTTCAGTTTTTAGTATTTGTGAACGGATATTGATTTTTCGTATTTGTTTTACTTCATAAAATAACAAATATTCATATTTTTAGATTTTTTGAACCGAATTAAGGGATAATGGATAAAAAGATGTAATATATACTTTTCTCAACATCACTAACTACTAATAATCTTATTTCTTATATTTTATTTCGCAACAATACCAACACCAACTAGGGAATTCGCGTGACACTTGGTTACAAGAAAACTTATTATACGAACGTTTTCAAGTGAACAATGTTTACGAAGTCAATCATTTTGAATTCTTTTCACGAGTCAAGTGTTTTTATAATTGTACAAACCATTTCATACTAAATTTTATTTTAAGTTTTGTTGTTGAATATTTTGTTTCAGAACCAAATAGATATTGGTCAACAAGTCGTGCAAGAAAACAATGGATTTGCATATCCAGCTATGACTAATCCTCATGAGTCTCCAAATCAGCTTCAAGAGCTTCCTCCTTTACCTTTGTGTAATCTTCATGAGTCTCCAAATCAGCTTCAAGAGCTTCCTCCTTTACCTTTGTCTATTCTTCATGAGTCTCCAAATCACTTTCAAGAGCAATTTCCTCCTTTACCTTTGTATGAAACTAAATAATTAAATTTCTTTTTATCATAATATAAAACTCTTAACTTCTTATTAATCAATGCAGGCTACCAGAAGAGCATTTTGAAGGATATTGGGCACTTTTACCTCAACTTTTGGCTTGTTTCCCAAATAATAATCTTCCAGTCACAAGTGTAACAGCTTCTCAGAACCTGGTAAGTCACATCAACTATTTTTATTTGACTATCAATAGACTTATATAAATGTCTTTTAATCCATATTATATTTAAATAAATTTCTAGGTTCCTCCTATGCAACTATCTGCTCATACTCTTTCACCTAGGTACGTTATTTACATTTTTATTCCATGTTAATTTAATAGCTACATTAACTTATCATTTACTATGTCAATGTTTTAGAGTTCCTCTGTTAAACAACCAATACCGTAATTCTTATTACTTGGGCCCAAATATGGTGCCGAATCCAGAGCTATCTAGTCTCAACGTCCCCAACAACCTCGTTCCAAATGGGTACCATATTACTCAAATGTAACACTTTTTGTATACTTATAACAATTTCGATTCGTATATACTTTTCATAAGAATATTATTTTGATGAGTAGGTCACAGAACTATCTGCCGAATCAGACGTATCGACATGTCCCATTCACTTCTTCGAACATGCATGGTCAGCAACTGCCTCCACCAGTTTTATGGTAATCAAAGTTATCAAAATTTACAATATATACTTTTCTCAATCTATATATATGTTTTTAAAAGATTTTTACATGTACAATTTGTTGGATTCATACAGGACATATCCTCGACAAAATCAAATTACTATGATCCCTACCCCTAATAGTGGTCTACAACGTAACATTTCATTCATACCCAGACCTCAAATGCCTTTGAACTCTACTAGGTAACAACTCGTGATCTAATTGATGAATTTTCGATAACTGGCCTAGTCGATTTTTGTATATCTTTTTTGGACCTCTTTTCCTATAGGCATCTTGGTGGCAATCAAAGATCGGTGCATCAGCCTTCACCGAGGGTTAGGTCATCCACTCCGAGGCGTATACGTCCAAACGTAAATTCAATCATAACTCCACAGGTACAATTTCTTTCATTATGAATGATTTCCTTTTCTAAAAAAACTTTATTTGGTGGAAGTATAATACTATGTATATATCATCAATCTTCATCAATATATTACAAATGAGTACATATTTACTAAATAAACATTATTGATGACATGAATTTTACAGACCAGTACTGTTTTAGGATCTCGGCGACGAAGTTACCAAAGTCAGTTTGAACTTGGAGGATCATCATCTCCCGCTCAACGCAGGGTACAAGTTCTCAATACACATAAATTTTATTTTTTAAGTAAGAAACAATTAAAAAGAGAAATATAATATAACTCAAGAAAATAATGCAGAGAATTACATCAGCAAACGAAAATGTTGCTTCAACTGCGCCCAATACTGCTGGAGCAAGGTCTGTTTTTTCCCCATTGAATATCCACGTTACTTTTTAATATATATGTATATCAATCTGAAATAATTAAATTAATCATACGTACTCTAGAAACAAAAAAAAAAATTCTTAGGAACATAACAAAATGTACATGTCTTTTCAGGGTGGAAAATAAAATATACAATCCGATATACGAAAGCCTCGGTCTACTTATTGATCCACACTTGAGAAAGTTTTCTGAATCGCAGACATTCGGTAATTCTTTCTTATTTATAATTTTGTTTTATTAACTTATGTATTTTTGACAATAATTCATATATTCACATATATCCACCATCTTATTAATTTCATAATTTGTTCCTTTTAATCTATAGGTCGCTGATCTATCTTCAAACCTTGAATCTGTGAAGGGTTTTTATGCTTAATGTGAAACATGCATGGTCATGTTCTATCTTTTTTTTTCTCTTTTTTTCTGTTTCTCTATGGTACTTTGTTTTATCTCTTGCGGCATCGATAAGTTTATATATTGTTTTACATTTTGATGTATACAATGTGTAATGTAACTTTATCATACAATGAAGCAAGATTTGTTTCCCTTTATTAAGGTTTTTCCTCCTTCGCTTTTCGATCACATCTTTGAGCTAATGTATCATATAGCAGCCCTTATTCTTATTTTGATTCGTCGATTGTCTCTGAAAATTTATTAACTGCACAATTTGAAGAAAGTTTTGTTATGAGAATCAATCTGAGTATAAATGAATATATAGAAAACAAATTGTGTTGAAGTAGAGAGACGGACCTTATTGCTGATTGGAATGATGGGCCAAATTGGCAATCATATGGGCTTGTGTGGGTTCGGGCTCAACCTCAGGCCCCCAGCTCTTCCACGACGTCGTTTAGACCTTCCATGCTTTGTTGTGTATTTGGTGCTTGGCAGGACTTGCTCAACAAATGTTCCTGTGATAATCAATTACTTAATTACTTGTTTCTTCATATTACGATGTAATTAAATAGCAGAAAAATGTTATGTGTAGTAGGTGTCACCCGTCTCTGAACAACACGTGTTAGGGTATTGAGGAGATGAGTTTCACAAGCTTCAAATTCCTCAATTGATGTAAACTTCACTGGATCTGGTTCGAATTTCCTATGTGTAAGTTAGATCAGCAGAATCATAATTAGTGTTTACGTAACATTTTTTTTATTTGTCTATATTAGATCAGATAGGACTAATTATAGGGAAAATAATACCTGAGTTCTTCCTCTGACTTCTGAATCTGTATTTGTAATCTACAAACTTCTTGCTCAAGTTCCTGTAAATTTGCAAATATAATTAGACAAAATTCTTACGATAATTATATATATGTTTTTAGTAAATAAATTAATAACCTCGACATCGGAGTGGATAGCTTCAGGGCTTTTTCCAAAGTCATGAGATCAAAGATAATTAGTTTGCAGATTTTTTATTTTTAAAACGTATCTAATTTATAGGATCATAAAGATAGTATAAGGGCAAAGGAGAAAGAAACCGAGGTTCGCTGATTTGGAGGGCCATGTAGTTCTCAATTTTGAGTTGCTCAAGAGTCCTTAACAAAAACTGTCACCAAACAACAACAAAAAAAATCTGATAACAAA